GGGCAAAACGGAGGCCCGGCCTGGCCCCGCCGCAGTCGCACTAGGCGGCTGGGAGAGCGCGGCGCGCGTGTTGAGGGAACGCGCGCGGGGCCGCCACCTGTGGGTGCCTCTGGTGTGCGCGGTGTGCATGTGAGCGGGCAGGAATACCAAAACAAAGGGGTGAAAGGCCCTGACGGCGGCCGGCGCACCCCGTGGGGCAGCCGCAACCCCCCAGTGTGCACCCGCAAGGCGAGCCACGATTGCGCGGCTGGCCCTGCGCGGCGGCGCCTCGGTGTGCGGATGGGCGCGCGTCGCCTCGCTGCGCCACGCCGCGGCTGGCCTGGGCGGCAGCCGGCTGGCAAGCTGGGCGGCACGCGGGGCGCATGGGTGGGCCGGGGGTGGGGCCGCCCGATCGGGGCTCCCCAGGTGTGTATTCTAGGGGGCGGGAGGCCCTCATGGCCTGCCATCGCAACCCCTCCTCCTGCAAAGCTGTTCTGCAAAGCTGTGCTGTGCTGCGCTGCGCTGAGCTGTGCTGTGCTGTGCCGCGCCAGGCCTCCTCGGAGCGCCGCCCGTCGCGCTGCCCGCCGTCCGCCGCAAGCCGCGCTGACACGTGGGGAATGCGTGCCGCGCGCCCTTTGCGGGGCGGCGGTGCTGCGCTGCGCTGCCCCTGCCCCTTCGTATTCCCTCGGCCCTGGCTGGAGGATCTCAAGAAGCATCAAACAGCACTCCTAATACGCGCCCGGCGGCCGCGTCCGGGCGAGCCGTTTGCGGCCAAGGGCTTGTGCCCTCTTCATCCTGCAGCGCGGCCGTGGCGCTACCGCTGCCGCGACTGTGCACGCGCCCGCCTTTCAAAAGCCCTTGCCCCCGGCAGCCCGCGGCCCCGGCTGCCAGGCCGCGGCCCGCGCGGCCGCCGGCCCTGCCTGCTGTCAGCTGCTCCAAGTGGGGCCGCCGCCGCCGCCAAAGGCACCGCTGTCGAACGCCCCGTGAAACTCGGGCGCGCCGCCCAGCGAGCCGCCACCCGGCAGCCCGGTGCCGCCAGGCAGCCCGGCGCCGCCCTCCTGCGCGGCGCTCGCCGCGGCGAAGCTCGCCGCAGCGGCGGCGGCGGCGGCCGCGGCCACGTCCGCGGACGACGCGCCAGGAAAGCCTCCCGCAGGGTCGGGCTGGGCGTAGGGGCTGCTGTCCGCCTGCTGTCCGCCGCCGAACCCGCCAAACGCGGCCGCGGCGGAATTGCTGGCGAGGCCAGCCGCGGCGGCCGCCTGCTGCGCCATGTCTCTGCTGAGCGCCTTGGCCATCTCGCTCATGCCGCCCGCGCCGCCGCCGAAGCCGCCTGCGCCGCCCAGCTGCTGCTGCGCCATCTGCTGCTGCAGGTTGTTGAGAGCGTACAGATTGCCCTGCGCGGCCGCCGCCTGCGCGGCCGCCGCTGCCTGCGCTGCGGCGCCCATGCCGCCGACGCCGCCCGCAGCCTGGCCGCCAAAGCCGCCCCCGGGCGCGCCGCCGGCGCCTGGGCTGAGGCCGTACATCCCATACGGACTGCCCGCGCCGCCGCCCGCGTCGCCGAACCGCCCGCCGAGCCCCGCCTGCTGCGCCGCCGACACCGGCGG